AGGTTAGGCCCACGTGTAAGTCGTAAAAATAAGATAGATAACTTCGTTGAACATTGAAAGAAAAATTTCCAATGCATGGCCCTACTCATGTCTACACTTTTATTACTTTGCTTTCCGGGAAAACTCGTTACGTTGTTTTTCCAAATGATAATTCATTTCCTCCAGATGTTTTCTCAGTCACCGTGAGAAAGAATATCATTTTGAAAACACTAGTGTGTAGTACTCGAATTATTATTCCGTGAATAAAAAAAAATATAATTAAACATTCGACGGACGTCACACCCCCCTCGTTAGACGGAAGTACGAGTGACGTTTTTGAACGAACGAGAACGACGCACCCAAAAAATTAAACATTTCGATTATTATTCTTAAAGAAAACAAATAAAATTAAAAAAAAAAGTAAATAGTTACAAAACTTAATTTGTTTCTCAAAACATATATATCAACTACAGTCTAAATTCCCTCGCCGCAGTCTATGAAGCATTATTGTTGACCTCAACAGGATGATTTCTCTGCTTCCTCCTTCAAATATGACACAGAGATTTTATGCAGATCGGTTTCGAGTGGAAAATAGCAGTAGTTTAGACAAAATTCTTTTGAATGAGATTTTCGGATTGTTCCTTGACTTCATTGAGATGTGGATAAAGTACAGTTGTTACATCCCCTGGTGCAGACGGTATATCTACAATTTCGATATCGTTGTTGACATCCTTCTTATTGTCTCCACGCGTTCTCGCCAGGTGCAGTAACAAATTTGTCACGGAGTCCCAAATAGCTCCGACCAGATGGATGGACCACCCATAGACTAGATGCAAGGTATATCCATGAATGACAGTGTCCACTAATAACTTCACGAATCTAGCCATCATGAAAACTCCAATGAATCCTGCACTAATTGTGCCAAATTTGATAAAATGTCCCCAAGTTTTATCCCAGGCATTTTCTGCTAACTTTTCCAAAGCACTTTCATCGAAGAAGTTGAACATCGATGGTGAGGCATATTGAGTCCCATTTCCTGAGACTTTTTGAGCAATTCTGTTCAGGACTGCCATATTTTCCAGTGGAAACATTATACGATCACGCATTTTCTCTAGATCATTTTCAGTATAGATTCCACTGGTTGCCAATTGTTCAGGGCTCTGGTAGTTCCATGTAGCCTTTGTGTTGGGTTTGATCTGCATTGGTGGTAATGCTTCAACTGGACGTGGCATCAGTTTATACCACATATTGCCGAGACGGTAATATTGTAGTAATGGTGAATTGCAAGGAATTTGTGTCGCTTGTGTTACAACTATATGTGTACGCGGCGTTAAAAATGCAGTTTCATTACCTCGCATTACAGGCACCCTATTGTAACATTCGTCTATTTGTTTGATTTTTAATTCTGCGGAATACATTGTACAATATGTATTACCTCTCCGGCTAATACCGCCATTTAACCTGGACCTTTCATAAATCGATATGCAAATTCATCTGGCATTATGGTGGCTATCGATAAGCTATTTCTAAGAATTTCGCGTTCTAAATTACATTGGTGGTATAATATGTCTTTGTATAACCCTTTAAGTTGGGTTCGAATAAATCTCTCTACGTAAACAAATTTAGTATTCATATACATGAAAATATCCATATTATCTACAGATAAATCTACAACATTACTTTTTACTAACGTATATCTATCTTTTGAATCATAAATGAACAATTTTGGGTGTTCAGTTATGATTATATTCATACCGCAAGCATTATGCTCACCGCGTTTTGATAGCGTGAAACTATTGTCCTTATATTGAATCGTATAAAGAGTTTCCATTTTTGAAACCATTTTTATAGCGGTTCCTTTGAAAAGTAATGAAAAGAAATCGTTATTACACCACGGGGATGACGGCAAGGGTTGCCAAAAGGTATATCCTCCTTCAGGATCGACACAATGACCGCTAGATACGTCATACGAATGTCCTGATGGTAAATAGATTCTACTTTTATCGACTTTAACTCTCGCAGTTATTGCTTTTAAAGAAATGCGAGCAATACCCATTACAACTACTGAGTCCCACGAGCCGTAAGGATCCGAATATTGAGCTCCATAGCAAGTGCCATCATTGGTTGCTCTGCCGGCAAGAGTAATGCTTCGTGTGGTTGTTGTATTGGGAAAAAGGCCATCAATTATTGTATTAGCAATACGAATCGTACCATGATCATGGGCAATCTGGCACGTTTCTTTTGAAACAGAATGAATGTATTCCATATACGAATTGTCAACCACTGAGACATGGGAGTGCATACCG